TGTTTTGTAATGGAATAATTTCGTTTTTGTTGACAGTTGGCTTTTGTGGTTTAAAATAGGGAAAAGTTGATATCTGACGTATTTCGTTTTATTGATGGTTATTTTGACGTGTTTTGAAAAGTGCGAAATTTTGGTTTATATAGCCAAAACGCGAATAACAATTCTATGATTGGCCAGAAAAAAATCAGTACGATGAGCCTAAATGACATCGTTTGCCCAAAAACAACTACTCAAATATGCTGTTTTTATTCGTCATTCTCGTGAAATATACTTGTTGAGAAACTGTTATTTTCAATTATTATGGATCAATTGAAAGCCCTGTTTATACCATCATCAGAGTATTATTTTGACCAATTATTGTACGATGTATAATTTTGGTTTCTTAATAAATAACCACCAAAATTATTACACTCAGTTCCCGACATTCAAGGCTGTGACCAAGTACACCAGCTCCAAATAAGTTCTTCATTTTGGACTTGCATAATGTTCCCTTTTCAGGGCCACCAAATTACCAATCATTTCGCTTTTTCGTGTCCCTTCACTACTACATACTTAGTGTTTTATTTAATATAATTTACGAAATCTACGGAATCACATTGGATATTTGATATTAATGAATATTTGTGAGTAATAATTAATTAGATTGTGATTATATTGTTTATAATAAAATATAATATAATATGTGAATGTAATTATTTATAGCCTTATTGGTAGTAATACATCTTTCTAAGATTACATTACACTAATGAATAAATTGAAAACGTTCTTGTGAATTTTATAAAATGTTTAATCACTATAATTACAGTCAGTACTTTATGGTCAGGCTTTATGCGTTGCTAGCGGATTTAAATTATGTCAATTTTTTCTGTGAACCTCGTCACATTTAAAATACCATTCAGTTTTTAAACTTTATTGTTTTAGGTTCAAGGTTGTTGGTATTTAAAAACCCTTAAGGTGGGTTATAGTTAATTTAATTAAACTTTAAATGTAAAAAAAAAAAAAAAATTGTAAGTGATTCGTAGTAAAAATATTGAGTGTTTTCTAAAAAAACATCAAAAACACGATTCATGAATAATTCTCACTGCTTATTATTATTAAATTTCACAGGTTCAATAGTAATTGATGCGGATACAGGTGATACAGCTCAATCGTTTAATCTCTAGATTCTTTTCCGGAAATTTTTAGAAGCTGAGTTTGTCTATTTATTCTAGACTCGTTCTTGTCTTCATAGAACTAATAGTGAGTCTTGATAACAACCAGCAGAACATACATAAATATCGGTATTATTTATATAGATTAAATCTTGCATTACTACATGTATATGATGCCTATAATTGTACTGTTGCTGAACACGAAATACTAATAACATTGATAAAATTAACTCCTTGATTTACTTGGCCATTCTGGATAAATTTAAAATAGGCAATTTGTAAATATAATGTTTCACACAAGTGTTGATGGTAAAAACGTTTGTTTAAGTCAAATAGTTTAATTTTTTCGATTTTTTTTAAACATCAATAATTTTTCTGTAATAAATATTATTATTAGAACTTAATAACTTTTTAAAAAATATTTTGTTTGGTTATTTCCTGACAAAGTATATGTATTTATTATTCATAACTGTTGTCATACGCATCATAGTATTATTATTTTTTTTTTTTTCAGGTCTTTCTTTAAGACCCGCTATAGAATGAGAATCATAAGGGCCAAATCATTCATCAAAAAAATAATATTATTATACCTATTTTCTAGTATTTGACAATTTGACATAGCTACATAGGTTTTTTTTATTTTACATTTTTACCTATACATTTTAAAATTAAGTAAAAATATATAAAAATACAAAATACTATATATTTAAGTATTAAATATATAAAATAATTTAATAAAACTATTAAAGATCTAAAATATCAAATATAACACAAAATTTGATTAAAAAAAAATCAACAGGCAAGTAAATAATTTTATTCAAAATCTGGTTGTAATTAATATTGCACTTTTTTCTTAAAAAATATGTATAATATTAACCTATAGATACTTAATTATTTTTCAACTTATTTAAGTTTATTAATGGTTATAAACTTTACATAGTACCTATTACTTATTAGTGAACATCTTATATTTATTTTACTATGTTAAATGAATAAACTAATGTACATGTAATATCAAATGTTTTAAATTATAAAGTACAAAAATTAATAATGAATAAAAACAATACATTTTTAAAACTATAATAGTATAGGTAATGTAGTAATTATTTAACTTACGATGTAGTTAATTTACTAAATTTTTTTTTTTACAAATGTTTTTTTTTGTTGTCGATTTTGCATAGCACAATACTGCCGCATTCGCATCCTTACGTAATAAATACTTACAGTTTTTACAATTTCTGAAGAATGAATATCACATGGGAATGCTATTCTATAATTATCTAAAAGATAATTTAGAGTTAATTGAAATACATCAGTATCTGTACAGTGCATGATGAAGCCTTTTTCTAAAACTAAAACCAAATTGAAAACATGAAAATTAGGGTAAATTAGTTTTCCATTCGACTTTAATAATGTTAAGGTTGCTTCTGGTATATTAGATGATTCAGTAGAACCTTTTAACATTTCTAAACAAATGTTACAATTTGTAGATTTAAATATTTTTCTACACAGATATCCGCACACATAATAAACAACACAACTTATAGTAGATGCTTGGAAATAATTGTGGTTTTCAAATACAGATTCTGGTTCCCAATTACCTTCTTGTATGAATGTATCAAGTTTTAACTTGAAATTTGAAACTATACTAGTTCTTGTAGAAACAGCTGTATTACTGTTACACACTGAAAATGTTAAAAAAATATACAGAATGAAATATTTAAAATATAAATACAAAAAAATTAATTTTTATTTACTTTTAAGCCATCATAATGAGATTTATCAATAGCTTATATTATTTTAACTTTATGAGATATTATTTACCAGTATCACTAAATATTTGTTTAACATCTGTAATATCATTTTAGGAGAAGACGAATCCAAGATTTTACAGTTGCCTGTTTTAGGAGGTTTTAAGACCGAGTACAGAGACAACATCTTATATACTTGAAGAATTGTGGGCGTTGAAGGGTGATCATTTGGCCCGGTTACTTGACGTATAGTGCCAAAAAACACCTGAAATTATGTTATTAGTATCCAGGACTAAACTATACTGCTTATACTTTGTTTTATTTTTAATAATACAATGAATTATTGTTTTAACATTTATTACTCTGCAACAACTGTTAAAAATAATAATATAATATTAATTTCACCTCAATTCGGTCCTGGTTAAATTTATTACTGAGGACATAATGGTACCCACATTCACTCAGTAAATATTTAGACAAATCTATAGTTGATTGCAACGTAACTCTTAGACCTTCAGCAGTTGGTCGAGTAAGAAATTCATCATCAGATATTTTAAAATCTTTATTATTTTGCTCCCAAATATTTGACCAATTGATCATGCTTTCCAAAACCATTTTTTAAAAATTTAATAATTTATTGTGAACTAAAAAGTTTTAAAATTAAAACTAAAAATTCATGTTGTGTATTATAAAGTATATTCACCTTAAAATCACTACAATTTAACTTAATTCCCTCATTTTTGTGTTTTCTATTTAATGCATCAAAGGTGTCATTAAATCTTTTAACAAAGTCCTGAGTTTCTTCACTTCCTTGAAGGTTTATACATTTTTGGTTTCTATAAAATTCCAAAGCATTAGCCATTGAATTACTTAGAACCTAAAACATATTAATATCAATTGAACACAAATTACAAATTTTAACATAATATGTTAGTATCTAAATTACTTGAATGGCTAATTTCACACTCATTTTAGATAAAGAATCCAGATATAAATGTCTCATTGTAATTTTTGGATAAACTCTTAAATTAATCTGACCATTTATGTCATTAATTGTATCGATTTTATGCATTTCCACAAAATGATACCAACTTATACATTTTTTTAGTATCAGATACCTATTATTTTAATATAAATATTAATTAAAAAATAAAAACAAATTTTAATTAGTTGTTAATTGTTATAAAGTATAGTTATTATTAATCATACATTCATACCTTTAAATACTTATTGTTATGTAAGCAATTCCTTACTGTTTTAATGAAGTGTGGTGCATCACTAAGAACATAAATTTTTCTTTTGTCACTAAGCGGATGCATAAAGTAGTTTTTAGACTCTTCCAATTTTCCACTAACTCCAAATTCTTTCCATAACTTCCTATTAGTGGATGCATCATCACTAACTAAACCATCTACCTTAGCACCAGAATTTTCAAGTAAACAAATAGCTTTAATGACAAGCTGGGCTAGTATATAACTTTAAAAAATATTAAATAATTAACAGTTACTAATTAGATAATTAATTTAATATTCTAATTAATATTGAGTTCATTTTTTTGGTGGTAGTTATAAGATTTTAAGATTGTTTGGATACCGACTACAGAGTATATTTGGATTTTGAGGGACTCCACAATATGTAAGGTTTGTATATAAATTAACTAGGAGATGGCGCTACAATCGCTCGTTGACTTTTCGTAACAGATGTGAATCTTTTCATTACACAGTGCACTATTGTTCGTTTCCAGTCCTGTGACCATGACCAAAATAGATTATAGGTGTCAGGCCTGGAATAGAAAAATATAAAACTCGTTCATTGCGTCATAGATTAGGAATATGTGCAAAGTATGTGCAATATTTATTTAATGTATGATTAAGGTGCATCAACTCGTTGTGATTATTGTAATCAACATTGTTATTTGTTTCACATGAAACCGTTCTCTATCTATATTAATTATCTAAATATTTTATTTTATTTTACCAACGTAGTACGACACGGTTGCTAAACTTTCGACGCGTACACGTGAGACTAATCTCGATCATATTTAAAACGGACCAGCAAATCGAACGGACAGCAATTACGATTTTTCCTATATATACCGAGCGCATTTGCAAAATATTGGCACTTCCGACAAGTAACAAAGTGTTCAACATTAAACAATTGTCAAATATAACTTTGTGAGTTCTCAATCAACCAATCAGACAAAATGGCACCTGGAGTCGGCAAGGCGATGAAGAAGTCACCGGGGAAAGCGCAAAAGAACATCGTTGCCAAGCCTAAGGGCGACAGGAAGCGCAAGACCGCGAGGAAGCAAACGTACGGCATCTACATCTATAAAGTGCTCAAACAAGTGCACCCCGACACCGGCGTCTCGTCAAAGGCCATGAGCATCATGAACAGCTTCGTCAACGACCTTTTCGAGCGCATCGCCGGCGAGGCCGGTCGCCTGGTCCAATACAACAATGGTAGGACGTTAACTAGTAGAGAGATCCAGACGGCCGTCCGCCTTTTGTTGCCCGGCGAATTGGCCAAACATGCCGTAAGCGAAGGCACCAAGGCCGTTACCAAGTATACCAGCTCAAAATAATGAAATTTCTACGTAACCTAACAAGCTTCTAATAACGCATATTTTTTTAATGTAATATAATTATAATTTATAATATAGTAACTATTTATAATAACTTAATCACTAAAATATTAATATTAAAACGGTTCTTCTCAGAGCCACAACATTTTACCGATGAAGGGGAGATATCATGTCAAGAAAATGAAAGTAAATTAAAAAAGAAACAAATATTCCAATCCCCGCCAGAATATAGCCCATTGCAAACACCGACACTTAACATCCGATGATTCGGAAAATTCGTACACGATGGTTTGAATACTTAATTATAGGAAAAATGTTAATATGCTTCGCATATTTCGAAATGTGTTTGAAAAATAGTTGCCCACGCCCTTCCATTACCTATCTACGGTAAATAAAATCCACAGGGTGTTTATATTTAATTGCAAAAAATATAATTGTCTTTTAAAAATTGGGGAATTTTAAGTATCTATAAAATAATTCTACAAAAATAATAGAAAATTATAAAAAAAATAAACTAAAATTTATTAAAATGAAAGAAATTAAAAATTGTCCTTCTTTGAATAAAAAAACTAAACTTATTAAATTTAAAATAATGATAAAGATAATACAAACAATAATATAACAACATTTTTTCAACTTTAAAAATAAAATATTAACAAGCTTAATATATTTTAAAAAATAACTTGCCCTTACTTCAAATAGTAAAATAAAAAATGATGGTAGCCTTTAAGTTCTAGTGAGTAATAAGTATCAACATTAAAATTATATAAAAATGAATAAATTATGTAGGTATTATGTTTACATTTTGTTCAAAACAATTTTTGCATAGTCATCTCACTAGTTATACAAACTATAGTTTAGTAGAAATAGACAGTTAAATTTTTTTTATAATTTTATTTTGAGGCGATGAAGTCTGTTTTTCAGAACTACAACTTCTTGTAAGCTCATTTGTAGTAAGTTTCGATCTGAATTCCAAGTAATTAATATACATTATTTTCATTGCATTGCAACTTTCTTTGTATTAAATAAATTCATTTACAACAATTACAGCAGTATTAATCATGTAATAAAATCAGGGCTCGAAAACGTTTACATAACGTTATACTAGGTAATATTAAATTTTCATTAAACAAAACGTAGCAATAAACGACCATTTTAGTAAGACACAAAAAATATAACAAAACGATAAACCAATAACTTAAAAAATCATATAACGAAACATAACAGAAAACACAAAAAATCGTAAGTTGATAAACGATCATTAAACGTTATAGTTTATTTTCATAATTTTTACGTATTACGTTTATGATATTAATTAATTAATATTTAATAATATTATATTATTATAATGCACATTGACGTTATAGGCGATTTCAATAAGATTGGAAATAATAGTTAGAATCATAATTCATACCTATAAAAGTAACTATAAACAACTAAGATTATGAGTAAGATATATCCATTACCCTTGCTGTTCTACGAGAAGCAACATTATTTTTTTTTATTGATTACCTATATTTATTATGATATCTAGTTTTTTTTATACATAGTTATTGATTAACATACAGTTTGCAGGATTTTAAGCTTTCCTTTTTTTTAAAAACGGTATCTAGACTATAATTACTCAATTACACAGTATTTTACCAATCAATTTTATCAAAGTTACACAGCATGAAATTGTATTTGTTGTGTCAAAAAGCTTAAAAAATTAACACAAGACTTCTGATATAATATATTTTACATATCAGTTGAACAATTTAAAAATAGATAGGTACTATTTTTTTTTTTTATAAGCATTTAAAGTTAAAATCTTTAGAAAATGTATCATACAAAATGTACAAATTATTTTATTGTTAAAAATTAAAAAATGTTTCAACTTGGATTTATATCTATTAGTTGAAACTCTTAAACAAGGGTCCACGTGAGTAGATAGATTATTCTGTAACCAAGAATAATGATTTAAGTTATTTTATTGTAAATTAAAAATATAACTAGTGAGTTACTTGAAGGCATAATCTGCATAGTGCATACTAAATCCGATCGTTCTATTGATACCACAGACGGTCCAAAACTGTAGGATTCACTAGGTGTGGCTAAAGAAAATGGGTAAATTCGGGTTCGTGTAATGTGCTACGGATGTCACCACTCCGTTTTTAATTTAGCTTCACCCAATTTCGGTGTGCTGAATTAAATAAGATACAAATGAAAAGAGTTTAATTCAATTTTGTGGCCCTGAAAAGGACCGTTTTAACGATACATAAAATCTGAACTAAAAGAACTTATTTGGAGCTGGTGTACTTGGTCACAGCCTTCGTACCTTCACTGACGGCGTGTTTGGCCAATTCACCGGGCAACAAAAGCCTGACGGCTGTTTGGATTTCCCGGCTGGTGATGGTCGAACGCTTGTTGTAGTGGGCCAAACGACTTGATTCGGTTGCGATGCGCTCTAACAGTTCGTTGACGAAACTGTTCATGATGCTCATGGCTTTGGATGACACACCGGTGTCGGGATGTACTTGCTTCAACACTTTGTAGATGTAGATTGCGTACGATTCTTTCCTCTTGGGCTTGCGCTTCTTGTCGGACTTGGCGATGTTCTTTTGTGCCTTGCCGGATGACTTCTTCATCGCTTTACCCGCTGATTTTCCTCCTGGAGACATTTTATTTGTTCTGGATATTGGCTGCTGTTGGCTGATTGAATGTCGGGAACTGAATATTAAAATTTTGGTGGAAAACGGTTATTTATTACCAAACCAAAATTATACATCGTACAATAATTGGTCAAAATAATACTCTGATGATGGTATAAACAGGGCTTTCAATTGATCCATAATAATTGAAAATAACAGTTTCTCAACAAGTATATTTCACGAGAATGACGAATAAAAACAGCATATTTGAGTAGTTGTTTTTGGGCAAACGATGTCATTTAGGCTCTTCGTACTGATTTTTTTCTGGCCAATCATAGAATTGTTATTCGCGTTTTGGCTATATAAACCAAAATTTCGCACTTTTGTACATTAGTAATAACCATTGACAATTCTGTCCTACAAGCAAGCATTACAGCAATCATGACCGGACGCGGAAAAGCAGGCAAAAAGGGAGGCAAATCCAAGACCAGATCGTCCCGTGCCGGACTCCAGTTCCCGGTCGGTCGTATCCATCGTCTTTTGAGAAAAGGAAACTACGCCGAACGTGTCGGAGCCGGAGCACCGGTGTACCTGGCCGCCGTCATGGAATACTTGGCAGCCGAAGTTTTGGAGTTGGCAGGTAATGCCGCCCGTGACAACAAGAAATCTCGTATCATCCCCAGACATTTGCAATTGGCCATCAGAAACGACGAGGAGTTGAACAAATTGTTGTCCGGAGTAACCATCGCTCAAGGTGGTGTGCTGCCCAACATCCAAGCCGTTCTCTTGCCCAAGAAGACCGAGAAGAAAGCTTAGGTTATCACAACCCCAATACCACAAACTCTAAAACGGCCCTTTTTAGGGCCACCAAATTATCTCATCATTTCCCGTCCTTGTAGTTCGTTGTAGAGACACCCTAATTTGTATTATAAAATAAACAGAATAGTGGTGAAGTGCGCGGTTTTATAATAGCAAATGTCACATTAAATTATCTAAGTACATATTATTATAAAAAGAACCAAGAGCAAAGTAGGATATTTAATTTTATCATTATAAGACGAATAAAGAAATACCTCGAATGGAAGTCGAGTAACATTATATATGTCTTTTCAATGATCACGACTATATTGTATGTACATTAATTGTATAATGTATTCACAGAATTAAAAAATAATTGTGTTGGATCAGTAGTTAAGAGAATGCAGATAAAATTATTCGCGAAACGGAAAATTATCTTTAATATCTACATCAAAATATGTTTTACCTAATTTTTATTAATGTTATTATGTTATTAGTAGTTATAAATAAGTTACACATTTTATTCTCCCTTTCTATTTTGTTACATATTTTAATGTAATAATGAAAATATATATTGTGATGTAAAATTACCAAAATGTTCAATTGCCATCTTGTTATTAGTTATTACTTACACTTTCAATCAGTATTGCTATTTCATTTTATTTACATATTTAATAGCCGTGGATAACCACACAATTATACTTATAAGTTATAATGTTATTCTACTGAAAAATATTATGTACTAGTGTAAAAAAAAATAAAAAAAAACAGAATTATAGTCATTTAAAAAAATCTTAATTATTTATTTGCAGATACATAAAATGTTGATACAAACTTTTTTGATTTTTAAACACAAAATTAATTATTAATTAAATTTATCCATATCAAATATTGATGGGCTAATATTGCATATGCCACCAATGATAGTCATTATATCTGAGGCTAAATGGATGTGCGGCCAAGGAAATGTATGCCTAAGTATATTAAATTTTTTTAATCTTTGATTGATTCTTTATGTATGAACCCTAGCCTTGGCAATGTCTTTAGATAAAATTTTATCTTCTTTGCTAAATTGTTGTTGATTTTTTAAAAAAGGAGGGCGGATAACCATAATTTCTTTTTTACTACACAAGTCATCAATTAGGAAACCTTTATCCTCCATCACAGCATCATGTTTTTGCATGCATTCAACCAGATTACTTTGTTCAAATATAGCCTTATCCGAACATCTACCTCCATAAAGCTTACTGATATAAGTTATAATGCCTGCGGGTGCTATACCTATCAAAAATGTTAAAGCATATGTTGATTTATAGTTACTGTAACATTTTATTCTGCATGTTAAGCATGTTGGCCTTTGCAATGACACTTCAGTACAATCAAGTATAACCCTAACGTTAATAAATTTATCAAAGCAATATGGAGTATTTAATGATATTTCTTGTCTAGATGGCCAATTAACTAAACTTTTAAAAATGTGTGCAAGTTGAGGAATCATTGAATTATACAGTAATCGACAAGTCTCCGAAGTTAAGGAATTGAACAAAATACTAAGAATTGCAAAAGACAGTCCCTGTTTCAGTTTTAAAAAGACCATAATAACACGCTCCTTTAAAGTTAAATGGTGCTTGTATCAGGAAAATATGTTTTGTGCTAATCTACAATCTCATCCAAAATTTTGAAAGAATTGATCCCTGTCATCGTAATTAATTTTTGT